TAGAAGTGACAAGAAGACGAGGAAGAAGACGTAAGAAGATGCTGGATGACCTTGGGGACAGAAGAGGATACTGTCATTTGAAGGAGAAAGCTCTAGATCGCATTAAGTGGAGGAATTGTTTTGAAAGAGGCTGTGGACCTGTCGTCTTGACAGATTACTGATGATGATGATGATACTAGAAGAAGTGATACCTTGTTCCTCATCAGGAATATGGTTGCTTCCATGCCAGCAGCTACGGCTTCAAAGGAGGAACACTCGAATTAAAAAATAAAGACCCACGGATGCAAAAAATATTAGGAATGAGGAATTGAATCTCACCCGAAAATTCTACAGCTCACGTTGCTGCATTGCATTCTGACAAAAACAAGGAGCAAGCTTCATACCTTGAGGCGTTCTCCAACAGAATTCCCAACAAATTTCGAAGCTATGATAACGCTTTTGCAAAGTATTCCTATTCTATAACCCATTTAATCCAATGGAAAGGCGCGAATGATTGTGTCTCTTCGAGACGAGGGCTCAAACTTTTTTGTGTTGTGATTTCACTGTACGCAGTGAAAATTCACTCTTGAAGATTCCAATGTCTTCATATCCAAACTTATGGGACAACCTGTATTAGGTCAGCGACAGGAAACAGACAAGTTGCATTCTTACATACAGCAGATTTCCTAAGGCTTAAAGAAGGCCGCACCATAGCTCAAGCGGTTAGTCGCTGGCTTCCCACCGCGGCGGTCCGGGTTCGATCCCGGGTTTGGTCAAGTGGGATTTGTGGTGGACAAAGTGGCACTGGGGCAGGTTTTCTCCGAGTACTTCGGTTTCCCCTGCCAATCTTCATTCCACCAATTGCTCCACAATCACCCTCACCTATCACGTGAGGCTGGTACAATAGGCCAGAAGTGGCCGCAGTACAAGGGACATAGTCCCACCCCACTAGCAATAAAACGAAGGGCTTAAAGAATATTCACATACGGATTCCGTAAGTTATGTTTAAGCTGTACACATATGAGTTTCATGTGCTAATGCAGCTACAGGGAGAGTATTGTATCAAATGAGAAAGAAAGGTGGCAATGAATGGTAATTTAGCAAGGATTTGCTAAGAGTTGGCTGTGGCTGAAGTGAAAATTCTATTCCTGCATTCGCCCACAGAAAGTAGGAATAACCACAGTAACCTCGGTTAAGGCTGTGTCATAGCTCAGGATATTAGTCGCCGGCTTCCCACCGCGGCGGCCCGGTTTCCAGCTCAGGTCAGTTCAAGTGGGATTTGTGGTGGACAAAGTGGCACTGGGCAGGCTTTCCCTGAGTACTTCGTTTTCCCTTGCTAATTCTCATTTCACCGACTACTCCACATTCATCATCGTCTATCATCAGGGGCTGCTACAGTATGTAAAGTAGGTGTCGACGTACCAGGAGGGCTCAGTCTCACCCCATCACAACAAAATAAAAAAAACCTCAGTCAGGATCGGCTGCAACTTCGGCGAGATTCGAATACAGGTCTAGATCTTTACCTTACAATTGGGTAAGAAACTGCGGAACACATCTAGGTCCGCGGAGTCCATTAAAAGCCGAGAGTCACTCGATTATTCAAGAAATTTCCTGCCTTTTTTGGAATCCGAATATTCATCACGGTATTCACAACAGCCTTCAAGCTCAGGAACTATGTAGCATTCCGTAACAGGCCGAGTTATACGATCAGCAATTGTAATCCTCTTGTCCAGTCCCCGAACTCGTGGGCAAGCATTTGTTGGCCTACCCGCAATGGTTCTTTAGCAACCATCTATATCCGAAGGCAGTATTTTGCACCCGCGACCTGAGGACGTGCAGTGCCATAGTGACAATAGACCAGATTATTTCAAATATGTGAAGCCAGCTAAACAGATGGAGTACGAGCGGTACTCAAGGCCGGCGGTATCACCCATGCGCATATGTAAACATGTACAGACATATAAATACGGTGCAATAAGCATATCCTGCATTTGGCACAACTGCTGCTTCTCCCACAGGTAAGAGGACCACAAACATTTCATCTTGAACATAACTGCACACTGAAGGTGTGACAGGATCCATTTACATACTAATCAACTGCAGAAGTACACTGCACTGACTGGTGAATTTATATAACACATTAACTTTCTTCTTTAAATATCGTCCTTGTACGACACGCGGTAGCGTACATGGTTGAGGCACTATGTTACAATTCGGAAGGTCGCGGGTTCGATTCCCAATGAGGTAATTGGGTTCTTCAATTGACCAATCCTTCCAGCCACAATATAGCACTGGGGTCGGCCCAGCTACTAACAGAAATGAATACCAGGAATCTTCCTGAGGGTAAAGGCGGCCAGCGCGTAAAGCTGACACCCTCATCGCCATCTGTGAGCCAGTTGTCTAGGGAAAATGTGGGAGCCTCGACGTCTCACAACTCTGTGGGCCTCTACTGCCTGTTACAGGCACAACTTTAAGTTTTAAATACGAACTACGCCATCGTGGCATGGAGATGAAGCTTCAGCGTGTATTATTCACGTCTATGCTGAAGATGGAGGCAATATGTTCTTCCGAAAGCTGGTACCCACCCACAAAGTCGCAAGACACTAAAACCTCAGAAGATTCCAATATGATACCGAGAAAATTAGCTGAGGCAGTAACCCTACGGATTGACGGAGGCCGCGCCATAGCTCAAGCGGTTAGCCGCTAGCTTCCCACCGCGGCGGCCCGGGTTCGATCCCGGGTCTGGTCAAGTGGGATTTGTGGTGGACAAAGTGGCACTGGGGCAGGTTTTCTCCGAATACTGCGGTTTCTCCTGCCAATCTTCATTCCACCAATTGCTCCACAATCACCCTCACCTATCACCTGGGGCTGGTACAATAGGCAAGAAGTGGCCGCAATACAAGGGACTTAGTCCCACCCCACTAGCATTAAAAGAAACGCTTACGATTGCATTCGTAAGGTGCTTAGTTCAAATTCGGGCTGGGGCACAGTCTGAAATATTCGGTAGTTTTACTCGGTCTCTTCAGGTATACTGAAAGAGGCTACTAACGCCATCTTCCACATCTTTCCCGATATAATTAATCAATATGATTCATCTTACAATTGGAATCTTTTTAGTCTGAACGGAGTTAAATAGCCACAGAGAACATAAAACACGAAAATACACATGTCATTAAGATGAAACGTCTTTCAGTACGGTGTGTATACAAAGAAATCAAAGGAAACATGGCACTCAGCTATGCAGCAGATATCTGTAGCTTCCTAGCACTACGTTTATACCTGCAGTAATACACTGACATCTGCAATCAGCATGAATTCAGGGTCACAATGAACAGATGTACATACATCCTAATATTGTGGTGCTTCTAATCAAAACAATATATCTATTCCTGTCTGTCTACATCAACATAAGGTATTGCCATGTACCCAGATAACGCGGCAAGAAATTAATGGGTTCCAGATAGACGAAGCTGTTTACTGGATAAGTTGTTTACAATTACAATTACAGTCACTCAGAAATAATGTTTTTCATGCGATGCCACTTGGCTAGTCTGTCGTCTTCTGGTTCTTAGCTGAGCTGGTTTCTTCTGCTCTCAGCTCTGCTCTGTTCGCCTCTGTTATGTTTTCCGCTCTCTCTCCTCTCTTCTGTTTGGTCGGAAGGCCTAGGAGACACCTTGTTCAAAGGTTCCGTTTCGTGTGTTCGATGCACCGGTTGTTAGTGTATTCGTTGCCGCAGGAACTGCCCTACTCCTCGTTTTAACTTCCGTGGTAACGGTGTGTTATGTATGCGTTGTTTCGGAAACGTGCATGAACGTTTGCCTAGCAAAATGGATAATTCCTTGTCTCTAGCTCCACTATTCCGCTTTTAGGCAGTATTTACCGAGTGTTGCTTAGCAATGGTCTGTTCCAGCTTGTTGTCCCGAGCACGTGTTTAAACAAACCGTTGTCTAGCAATGGACGCCCACTCTGTTAAGGTGTTCCGGCTTTTAGGCGGCAAGCCACAATATTATTTATTTCGTTGTATGCTTCAGCATTAACGTGTCATTATTAAACGCAAAAATTAGCTAAGAAAACATGAACCTGTGCTCGAAAATAATTCCAAAGTCTGGCATAAATCGATATTGCCAGTAGTCAAGTCAGTTCATAACGGCAACAAAATAGTGCGAACACGCGTTCCCAGAAACTTATCTTATAAAAATTCTAATGCCGGTAAAAATAAAGAAGGCAAGAAATCCGATTAGAAGGCAGTGCGACACAACTATCTGTGTTGTAATTTCAAAAGTTAAAACTTTGTAAATATGGCACGAATAACCTTGTGAAAATATAAGATACAGAATTGACAGGCGCTCTCTACAGAATGTGTTTGAATTTAAATAATGGAGACAAGGAAAGAACGCCATATTCACATGAAACTCTTTATTCTTGGTTTATAAAAGTAAAGATAAAGTTGTCCCTTTGCTTAACTAATTAAGCACTGTGCCATGGAGGGGTATGGGGGGAGTGGATGTATATCCTATTTTTTCTTTCAGAAATAAGGGATACACAGACACACGGACAGCAAGATAATTTCTTAGGTCGCTTTTTTTCTAAATAAGGAAACTATGCTAAAATTATAGATAAATACCACAATACCCTTGTCACTTAATTATGGATATACACCCTTCCTATTTCACAACTGACAAATGCCATGTCATACTTAATGTACCCTATTTTAATCTTTTCATCAATTTAAGAAAAATCATTGTAATTTATATTTTACATTTGATCATGAACGTTAGAATTTATTACGACAATTTACATTGTAGCAGTTGATGCATTTAAATCTGCAACTGAATAGTAATATATTTCGTTTATTTACAAACCATCCCATGATCGTTCATGCAACCGAATCATGTAATGCTTGAATGAGAATGCAGAATTGATGACATCATTGATAATTTTATAGGTGTGAATCGATTTAATTTAAATTTAATGCTTCAATGCCTCAGTTAATGACCCTTGCTTCTCCTTTCATGAACCAGGTTAGCAAAATGCTGTGTTGGTTTCCAGTCCTTGCTGCGCTAGTGACTGCAGCGAGCTATGTGCAGGCAGCTGAGTGTAAGTGACAAGAGGTATCCAGTCTAACATGGATTGCCTTCCATCCGCAGCTCTAATTTCTTCTCCAGTAACGTTTACACCGTTTAAATTAATCAAAATAACAGATTCATGGTACAGTAAATTATGAATACGAGTCTCGTGGGGGCTTGAACGAAGAAAGACTGTGCTGGCGAGAACCAGCAGCAATTTGTCGTACATGACCCAAAGTCATTAGTTGTAAATCAGAACTCGTATTGGTGGTTAGCCGTGAGAACGGAAATAGCTCAATATCCGTGTTAGAAGCCGCTACCTAACAACGGAATAAGGTCGACATAACAAATTGGGAAGAATTAATATATACTGCAGTTATTTGTAGTGTGCAGATTAGTGAGAGGAATATAACAATTTATAGTCACAGTTTATAAGCTTTAGAAGAATCCAAACCCCCTGTCTTTCCCTTGAAGCTCGGGATATTTTCCTTACTGTATACTTATACACTGCATGTATTGCAGACAGAGTTGTGTGTTATTATGGAAGCTGGGCTGTCTATCGGCCCGGAAATGGCAAGTTTGACGTGGAGAACATTGATCCCACACTTTGCACCCATCTTATTTATGCCTTTGTTGGAATAAATACAGAAGGTGCTGTTACAATCCTGGACTCTTGGAATGAAATTGACAAAGGTAAGTTGCATTTGTTACATTTAGTCATAATTGTATTGATACTTTATATATTTATAGGCCAGTATCGCGGGTTGAAGTCCCGATGAGGTCATTGTTTTTTTCAATTGACCTAATCCTTCCAGCCGCATTATGGCCCTGGGGTCGACTCAGCCTCTAACAGAAATGAGTACTAGGAATTAATTAAATAATTTTCCTTGGGAGTAAAGCGCGGCCGGCGCGTAAGGCTGACAACCTTACCACCATCTGTGAGCTGATTGTCTAAAAAATGTGGGAGCCTCAACACCTCACAACCCCGTGGGCCTCCACGGCCTGTTACAAGGATACCTTTTACTTGTTAACTGTTTAAATAATTTTCAGTCAACAAAACTTAGATATTTAGGTGTTCGAGGAATATGTATAAATAATATATGTTTTTGTGGATTGGTAACAAAAAAATAATTAAAATATTTCCTAAAATTGTATTGTTTCCTAACTTTTGTTTCTCGGATATTTTAATAAATGTGCAGTGCCAAAAAAAAAAAGATACGATGTGTCGCATTAATTAGGAATCCTGTAACATTGATTTAATGCTTCAGCATCCCGCTTACTGTTCAACATTATAAGATAAGAAAATGTATTTGTAATGCATACTGATCACGTCACTGGGACAACTCAGTTTTGTGACCAGAAATATTCACTAATCCCAGATGCGAAGTTGCATCCAACTATAAACTATAGTAACTGCTGTAAAACAACTACACGTAGTTAGTATCAGTTCACGCATGACATATTTCCTCTTCATGTTTTTATCGGCCGTTTTCGCAACAAATTTCCTAACAATAAGAATGAAAGAGACAGAAGTCACTAATCATTTATTGTGGTTATACTTCCCCACTATATGTTTTGATTTTGCTAAGTCATCATTCAGTGAATTGAGATAAGTAAGTACATCCATTGAATTGGAAATAGACATTAAAATACATTTTTATAAAATTTATAAATTTTTCACAAGATGTTATATAATTTAGTATTAAAATGTTACATGTCCTTTAAACTGAGGATCACATTGTGTGTGGTTTGAAATGGCACCTGAAATCCTGAATAGTGTAACCAGCGAAGACGGCAGTTGCTTGGCAATGACAAGGGCTTACAACAATTTACCCAACCGACCCGCCGGCCAGGAGTCGGCAGTCGAATTTTGTGGTTAACTGTGGGTAGAAGCAGAGAACTCTCCGTTTTCAGAAACAGCTAACTAGCAACAACTAGTGAAGACATAGGAAACTGAGGAAACCTAGCGCGTGTTGTACGGATTTGTAGATTCTGTTAGAGAGCGAGTGCTGTAATTATTTGTTGTTACGAGTCGTCAGTGTTCAGTACATTCAGTTGTCAATCGAAACCACACGTTTAATCTTTAACATGTGAGAATTGGTGTAAGAAGTTGGATTGGATTGAATTGTTTGACTGTACTGAAGTGTGCATTCTTGGATTTATAACCCACGTGACTTATAATCATGACTGATTTGGAACGCCTGACGGCCATCTTAGAGAGACCGGAAGCTGACATAGAGGCCGTGCAAGAGATGTTGGAGGACAAGGTAACTGCGCTTTTGACGTGACCTGTTGCAAAGACTTGGTTTACAAATGCACAGCAAAACGTTTAGTCGAAACATTCTTTGAGAGCGGGATGGCAACATGTTTTGCCTACGGTAAGACAGGAAGTGGCAAGATGACTTAGAATGGTCGGTGACTTCTAGAGTAAAATACAAGACTGCAAGAAAGAATTCTGCGCTAGGGCCGCCGAAGATATCGAGTCACATAAATGTGAAGTCCTGAATCTGCAAGATTCTTTGAGATTTAGAGTGCCGAGGTCTTAGATTTGTCTGTATTTCTTTAGGAATCTGCATGCCTTATATTGAATTTCTGATCCTCAGCCATTAATAAGAGAGCGATCATGGAGATCCCTGCAGAGGAAGTTGGCTGAACCTCAGAGACGGTCCGCACGCTGTGGCGAAGAGGAAAATCTTGCATTGTCGGGTATCGAACCGGCGCCTTTCAGCTCTTAGTCGTCGTTATAACGAATGAGCCATCCCGACTCCAGCCTCAGGGTGGCTCTAGTCATTAATTTACATTATAATTATTACAAAACACATAATGTAAGAATTGAGCTTGTCATGAGGATGGGGATTTGTAGTGTGGACTTCTGCTTTATGAAAATGTACAGTCTGGTACCTGGGTACCCCTATCTTTAGGGTAAGAGATGCAGTAGTTCCCCCGAAAAGTTGGTAACATCTACCCAGTTACACGATGCAACATCTCGTTACATCCCAATAGCTTGCGTTGAAGTCCTAGAGAAACGTTCGGAGAGCATTGCCCAGAAACTTCTGTATGCATTCATTTTGTATATTTAGGCGCACTCAGGCGTTTCAATGAATTGAAGAAGATCAGCCCAAGCACGAAGACAATGGTTGCTATTGGAGGATGGAATGCGGGCTCCAGCACCTTCTCGCAAGTAAGTAGCATATTCTGAGCGACCAGAATCTAGAAGGTAATAAACGGGACACATAATCAGATTTGGCCATGCCAGCTTCCACATCCTTTCAAATACATTGTTCACTGATCAGTATACAATTTGGTACTATATATTGTGAGCTACACAATAGTTCAACAAACCATGNATTTTTTTCTTGGAACTACAACCCCAGTGGGCCTAGGCCTACCTCCATGAACTTCTCCGTTCACTTCGGTTTTTCTAGATCTTAGACATACGGTAGGACTCCTTGGGCGGGTGATCAGCTCGTCGCAAGGCCTCTACCTGCACACAAACACAGAGAAACGCACACACATAAACTAAACATCCATGCCCTATGTGGGATTCGAACCCACGATCCCGGTTTCCAAGCGAGCGAAGACAGTACATGCCTTAGACCGCTCGGTTACCGTGACCGGCCCTGAAATTTTATTAGGGAGGAATATATGGATACATGCTGCAGCACTTAGACTCTGTAAGCAACGCCTCTTACTAGGCAACAGATTCCTAATACGCACCGATGAACCAACTGCGAGGCGGTGTCCTGTACGCGGTCCGTGTAACGGCTGAATGACACAACAATATAAAAATTGTTGGAAGCGGTGTTTTCTAAGCCGTCTGTGCCGAGGTGTTGTAAGCAGGACAATTATAGAATTTAGTTAGTTGTGAGACAGTCTCCGGCCAGTAAGGTCGTGAACACGGAAGCTGAGGAACCTGCGGCGTAGGAAGCCGCTACAACAGGTGAAGGCACAGCAGACAGAAAAATTAGTAAGTGATATAGTGAACTGTAGAGTGTGTGAATTAGCAAAAGGCCTATAATTACTTTGAGTTACGATCTGTAAGTCTTCAATGTAACCAATTATCAATCCAGACCCGGTCTATAGTCACTCATACACGTGACAATAAGTACAAAGGAACCATGAAACAAAAAGCCTATATTTAATGAAGTGTGGAAGTGGACTGATCAAGTGAAGGAGGATGAGGTGGGTAGGTCATGTAGCACGAATGGGGGAGACGAGGAATGCGTATAGGATATTGGTGGAAAAGCCAGAAGGAAATAGACCAGAGGGAAGACCTAGGTGTAGGTGGGTGGACAATATTAGAATGGATCTTAGAAAGATAGGATGGGATGGATTGGATTCGATACATCTGGCTCAGGATAGGGACCAGTGGAGGGCTCTTGTGAACACGGTAATGAACCTTCGGGTTCCATAAAATGCTGGGAAATTCTTGAGTAGCCGCAGAATTGGCGGCTCCTCCGGAAGGGCTCAGCTCCATGAGTAAGTAAGTAAGTGGAAGTGGACTGAAAGA